AACCTTGTCTTATGATTATAGGTTGGAAATGATAAATTTACATGGATGGGAACATGTACACCATGAAATCTAGGTGGCAAAAAGTTTCGCTCTAATTTATCAGAATAATTATGATGAAACATTTTCGCTAGTAGTTTTTAAAAATATGATAAATATCGTTATGGTTAGTAGTTGTGTTAATTGCGTTCTCAAATTCTCAATATGATTACGGTATCCCTTTTCATAGTTCGAATTGTGAGAATTAGCAAGGAACTGTTTTGAACGTTCAGGACATATGGCTATAAGTTTTGAAAGGGTTTGAACACACACACGTATACTATCTAATGAAAGGTGTATAAGCTTGAGAAGTCTAGTTGAAGACTTATCGAAGCATTACGTTTCAGAAATCTACACTTTAGTAAGGAAGTCAAGAGTGTTGATTTCTAGAAATCCAGTTGATTTTTGGGTACATGTTAAAGCTAGTGGGAGCATAATTGTTGTGCTATTAGGAGCATAATTGTTATGCTAGTGGAAACATAATTGTTATGTTAAATGTTGCAAGTTAGCAATACTATTTATAGGAAACAAAGTTTTCAAATTTGCAAATTGCAAAGTTTGGGAATTGTTTCTCTATGATAGACTTAAGGGAGAGAGCACTCATACTTAAAATCTAAAAGTTTAGATTAAAGGGTTTAATAGAACTTAGTCTTGGACATATATGAATATCATGTTGAAATGATTCAACATAGGAAATTCAATATATGGAAATATTATAGCAAGAGATACAAGGTCTTATGAATCAAGTCTCATATGCTTCGGATATAGGATCGATTGCGTATGCTATGATATTCACTTGTTCTGATTTTTCCAAAAATGCCTTGGGCATTGAGAAAGGAAAAAGTATCAGAACTTTGTGTGGCTAAAGTTCTTGAAGAGCTGTCAAGAACATTCTAATGTTATACCAAAAGATTAGCTGCTTGTGGACAGTTAGAAGTATGGTATTGATTTGGACGGACCATATTGACATGATTATGGATTGAGATGATTCTTATTCAGAATTGATGGTCATATGGAATATGGAAATGTTTCTATAGTGGGAGTTGGTTATTAAAATCTACATGTGAGTTAGGAACTTTAATGCAAGGAAGGTGTTCAAGGAGTGTATCTTTAATTTGAGACTTCATTGCCATGGAATTGTTTTAAGTAACAAAGTTTCAATGGAACATTTTGGAATATCGTTGGCAAAGTCTCTATGACTTTGAGGCCTCGACATCACAAAAGGAATTTGCATGTAAAGTTGGAATTCTAAAACATTTAGTAGTAACAAGAGTTTGGAACTGTGAAATGAGCATCATTGGAATAGTTTCCAGTTGATCTGTTCACAAAGGAATGACCATAGAGCGACATAGTATTAACATGGAATAACTACATGTTCATAACATGGAATGACTGACGTTTTAGTTCAAGTGTTTAGTTGATTACTAGAAACATTATACAATGAATAAAGTTTTAATTAATATGGTGATTAAATAATAAGAGTTTTATTTAGATTCAATAGTTTTGAGACCATAGTTAATTAGGTTATTATTGTGTTTCACTTTGCATGTTTTACTTCCTGAATAATTTGATTATTCGAATATCCACATTCGATCGTACTTTTGGAAGTAAGTATCGAATTAAGGTTGTCATGAATTGAATTCTAGATTGTCTATGGGGATTAGACATAGCAATTGTTTGTTGCAATGTTGATGAGTACTTAGAAAATAGGGATTTTAAGTATTGGATAAACCTACGCTCAGAGAATTACTTCATGGATTTTATCACGAGTAATTTTGAGACGATAATATCTTATATTCTTGAAATGGAGATATATGAGTTGTTGTTTACAAGTCGGTTGTGCATTGATAATACATAAACGCATCAGTAACTTGATGTTATAAAACATATTGTTGTACATGATTTGATAAGTAAATAGCGCAAGCATATAAGTCAAAGTTTATTCGTTCCTTTTGCCCTAACGGGAAAAACGATATCTTTGGGCCCCTCGGTGATTTGGTGTTGACTTATAAGTGCTAGGCCTAGCCAAGACTAAATTGATGTGTTCGATTAGTAGTCTAATGTCGTCATCACAAATCCGAAATCGGGAAACAAAACTTGGACAATGAGATTGATTATAATCCATGTCTCATGTCTATATGATATCTTGTAGAACAAAGGAATATTTGATCACTTATCTTAGGACATATTACGAACTGGGTCAGAGTTCGACAACGGCTTTTGGTAGCTACAATTTGCTGATCAGTTTGGAAGTTATATTGACAGTTATAGTTATTAGACTTATCCAAGTGGGAGACTATTGAATTAGGTGTATAATTCCATAATTATAATTGGCATAAACTTGAATTGATAGTAGCACAATCCTTTTGGGTTGCCCTCAAACCTAGCAATTGAATAAGATAACTTTTAGAGAGAGAGAATGATTTATTAATTTATTATATGGTTAATAAATTAATTAGAAATCAAAATAAATAATTTGTTAATATATTATGATAATAATATATTAATTGAAATTAGTATTATTAAATTAATAATTAATCATAAATTAATTGGAATTAATTTTGGGATTAATTGGATTAATTAAAAGTAAGAAGACTAAAGGTGACAATGTTCAACAGTAGAGCATTGAGGAATTCTAGAACCTCTCATAAATAGGGGGAACGAATTATAGATACTTTCTAGAGTTTCCTTGGGCTCTAAGGGTGCCTTTGATGCCTTAGGGAGGAAGTTAAGGGATTAGGGTTATCTTGGAGATACCTACCTTATCCACTACCTTCCTAACACCTATATAAACCCCTTTTTGGGTTTAATTTCGTCCATGCCTTATTCCTTAGATAAAATTCTGATTTTTGCTTCTATTCTCCTCTCTCTCTCTCTCTCTCTCTCTCTCTCTCTCTCTCTCTCTCTCTCTCTCTCTTCAAGTCCCTTGGTTGCTAGGGTTTGGGTGTGAACCATTAGAGGCGCGACACTTATGACGCTTGCTACCAAAGGTTTTCAAGTAAGGATTCAAGATTGTTTACAATAACAATCTTAAAGGTTAGTTTTTCTTGTTCTTATGACTTAGTTAGTTCATAGGAAAGTTCTATAGGATTACATTCAAAGTATGTTGCCTTTACATGAAAGACATAGATCCTATTAGGTTGCATGTACCCTAATTAATTGAAATTGTTTTTGATTATTTTCCGCTTATGGCATTGAACTTGTAACCCCAAATACCCATCAATTAAGGCCTTTAAATAGGGTCCAAGACCCTAAGTTAGGGTTTGTACCTGATTTATTATGATTAGGACGCTAGTTGTCTGTGTGACTCTTGCATGTGTAGTATATGATATATATACTGAGCGGGGTCTGATGCCAGGCGAGGCCTAATGGGTGTATTGTATGCTATTTATGTAGTGGTGTTGATTATGATGGCTTGTGCTGAATAAGAAAAGATCTAGTGAATCATCATGCAAACTCAGAGAACACAAAGAGTAAATAATTCTTTTAAGCTCTCATTAGTTTGATAGAAAGAGTACAAATGGGTCTTCCAATTTATCTCTCTAAACTAATGCTCTCAAAGTGTTCATTACATAAAATGAGTGTCATTCACTTCCTTATAAAGGAAAGACAACTTATTACACACATACAAAGGAGTAAGCCCTCTTGACATCCAAGAGTGACTTTGCACCCTAACATTCTCCCCCTCAAAGTTAGGATTGGATGTCCGGCTTCAATATCGAACGAGATCGCGCGATCAAGACCAAACTCCCTCTCGAAGTAACACCGGTCTTCAAATCCGCAAAGAATACCCAAAAAAGTCGCTTCAAATACCCATCATTCTCCCCCTTTTTATAATCAAAAAATGATTATAAAACCCATTAAGGGTGAGAAGCGCCCGAGGAATAAACTTTACAATACCCCCCCTTGATATGTACCAAAAATGAAACCTTGAAAATCTTACACGGAAAAAAATCACGAAAAGCCTCAAAAAAATTTCCAATTTGTGAATTTTTTTGACTTTTTGGGTGAAAGTTGCAAGATTTTCCAAAATCCGGGTAAAAAGTGTCACTTTCTGAATTCTGCAGGGACCCGTTGCGCCAAAAACAGCTAAATATGCGAAATTCTCCCCCATTTGCGAAACTGGGTAGAAAATGTTAATTCGCACAAACTGCAGGGACCAGAAATGAATATTCTTAATTCTCAGCTTTATGAACTCATTTTCGAAATTTGGTAAATTCTACCAAACTTTCGAATCTACAGGGACTGCTTTCGAAATTTCTGCCTTATTTCTTCCAAACTTGTGAAAATTACCCCAAATGTCGAATATGGTGCAAACTGTCAAAGTTTCGAAACTTTAAGGACTGATTTCGAAATTTCTGCTCCACTCTTCAAAATATCGAAAATTAGGCCAAATTTCGAATATGGGTTTAAAGTGTTAAACCTTCGAAACATTAAGGTGTAATTTCGAAACTTCTATGTGTTCTTCCCCATTTTGTTTCGTTAATAAACAACATGTTTCGCTTTTTCATCTTCATGCCTTAATAACGAAAAGGCAAAACTTCAAAAATGGTCCCTGTGGTTTCCGAAAATCTGAAGTTTGGTCCCTAATTTACAAAAACCTCACGGATGGTCCCTGTAGTTTCAAAACTTTTAATATTTAGTCCTTCCGCCTAACTCCGTCAGCTTTCTACCGTTAAGTGAGGGGCATTTTTGTCATTTCAATATCAGGGACCATTTATGAGGTTTTCTCTTATTTTAAATAAAAATAAAAAAATGAAATTTAATATGTAAATCTCTCTCTCTCTCTCTATACTGTCTCCTCTCTCTCATCTCAATCTATCACTCGCTCTCTCCCTCTCTCATGCTCTCTCTCCTCTCTCTCCTCGCATCTACTCTCTCTCATGCTCTATCTCTCTCTCGCTCTCCTCTCTCCTCTCTCTCGTCTATCTCCTCTCTCTCTCTCTCTCTCTCTGTTAAGAATGTTAAGAAGCATCACCCCAGACACCCTCTATTGTTGTTTTGCTCGACCCCTTCTTTCCCTCGAAGCCACAACTCCGGTGAGATAAGCTAACAGTCGACGAAGAGAGCCCACCGGAAAAATCGGTTGTCAACCTCTCCAACTCCCCTCGGTTGCTGAGCAAACCCACGAACCCCCACCTACTGTGTTGTTTCCGATCTGCTCTTTCCCTCCCTTTCTTCTCCGTTTTTCTACCAACCTCTCCACCTCCCCTCCATGGCATCTTGTGTGATGTTGCAAAGCATCGATATGTACATTTGGGTTTCCAATATGTACAAAAAATCCAATTAATGAATCAGTTCGATTCACAGTTATGCAGACAAAATTCATCATCGTTAATGCATTTGAAAAATGTTGGGTATGCTAGATCGTCGGAAAACGAAGCTAATTCGACCTGGTTTATACATAATGGAAGTTACCTGAGCAAAATCGGCGAATGCGATCAAGAGAATCAACGATAGGACCAAAAGCAAAGCGGTGTACGGACATCCTCCTCCTGCTATTTTATCTCTCTTTCACTCACTCACTGTAAAAAAAATGGAAATCTGATGATATGTGAGACTCACCGTAAAAAAATGTAGATTGTGAAGAAGAATTGAAATGAGATTTGGAATTGAAGCTCCCTACCTGATGTAGATTGTGAAGAAATGGGATTTGGAATCTGTCGATTAGAGAAGAAATGAATGAGGGCAGAAAATGGTTCAGGGGTAATTGGGGTGATGCTTCTTATCGAGAGAGAGAGAGAGAGAGAGAGAGAGAGAGAGAGAGAGAGAGAGAGAGAGAGAGAGAGAGAGAGAGCGAGAGAGAGAGAGAGAGGAGAGAGAGATTAAATTTCTTTCATTTTTCTTTTTTTAATAAAAAATTAAGATAAGAAGAGAAAATCTCATAAATGGTCCCTGGGTATTGAAATGACGAAAATGCCTCTCATTTAACGGTAGAAAATTGACGGAGTTAGACGGAATGACTAAATATTAAAAGTTTTGAAACCACAGGGACCATCCGTGAGGTTTTTGTAAATTATGGGCCAAACTTCAGATTTTCGAAAACCACATGGACCATTTTTGAAGTTTAATCTAACGAAAAATTTCTCAATTCGTTCGACTATCCCGATTAAAAATCTTCGTTAGTCGCCTTCAAAACCAAAGAATTAATTCTTCGCTTTTCATAACCATCTGTGCATCAGACCCATCAAAATCCAATCCTTCAAAATCCAAATCAAAATCAAAATAACCTGCTTTTCATAACTTCAATTGACTTCAAAATCAATTTCCAGAATTCAACTTCAAATTCAAATCAATTAACATTTCAACCCAAAATCAGTATACAGCCTTCAAAATCAATCCTTTGACCATCGACATCTAGTCTCCAATCAAGACATCAACTAGCGATCCCAAAACCAATTAATCTATCAATTCAAGATTCGATCGATTCCAACACATGATTCGAATTCCAAACTTCTCAATTGCAAAACCAAAGCGAGTCTAACATCGTTTTTCTTAGCTTCGTCAATTGACTCATAACAATTTATATTCTTCAAAATTGAAATCCTTTACCCCAATCGAATCATCAACATCGATAGACATTGACTCCAATACATGACCTATTTCGAAATCACAATCAAATTCTCAGCCTTCGAAATCAATTTCATCAAATAAACTCGTCTTCAAGAAGAAACCGAATTTCAGAATTCGATTTTAACTAGTTTGACTCCCAAACTTCAATCCATCAAACTATCGACTCCATAATCGAATCAACAACTTCAAAATTGACATCACAAACTAATTCCAGATCAACATACCAACATCAACCCAATTATCATCAATCGAATAACGAAAACGATTCCAAATCAGCCTTCGCTTTTATCTTTCGTTTTCTGATTTCAGTTCTAAGTCAATCAAACTCATTTCGACCTAGAGCCTTGATTTGTTCGTCCTCAAACCAAATACCCACTTAAAATCAAGCTTGCAATCATCGACATTTAATCTCATCATTCGAAATCAAAGTCAAATACCATCTGAAACTATCGATTTCAACCTTTTTAGCTGCCATCGACATCGACTTCAATTTGCAACCAATCGATTCCAAAAACGAATTTCCAATCATCGACTAACAATACATTCCCATTCGACAGTAAACACAAGTCTGAAATTGATTCAGATGCATCAATAATTCGATTTTGACTTTCAACTTTGACTCCTCCATGACTTCAACAACTTTCGACTCAGAAGCAATTAACATCTGATTTCTACTCAAAATCAAGAAATCGATCAATCTATTCAATATATCTAACAACGATTATAAAATGATGAGAATTTGATATACAAATATAGAATCGATAGTCAAGATGGAAGAAAGAGAAATCGATAATACAATCTGTTCGATGATTCAATTTGAAATCCACGAGTAACCGAGTTTAGATTGTTAATAAGATTTGGGCTTGAAATTTGATGAACAATATTTGATCGATATTTTGGGCTCAGAATCAATAACAAATGAATTAATGTTGGACTGGGCTTCGAAAGCAAATACCAAAGAATAGTGAAAAAAAAAATGGAATTAGATTCGCATTTTGATTTGATCAACAATAAAAGAAATTTGAAAATTGGTTTTGATTTTTGGAATTTTGATCTAAACAAAAATAATTGGATCAAAAATGGGATATAAATGGATTTAATCCAATGAGGCAAATCGATCAAAAATTGAAAGACCCAAAGTATGAATCAAAATCATGGATGTTTTGGAATCTATTTGAGAATTTGAGATACCTTTTTGACAATCCGAGTTCCATTTGCAACGAACGAATCAAATTTAGAAGATCTTGGTTTTTTTATCGGAATGAGAAAATCTCCAATTTGAACATTGTACCACCCACTATGCGAGATGTACAACTCGTTCTTCGAGTTCTTCGTGTTCTTCAACGAACCAAGAACATCTTCAAAAGAACCACCAACATTTTTGGGTTTTGACTTCAAATTCAATGCAACCTTTGAAGATTGTTGCTTTGGAACCCAAATTTGTTTCACGGATTTCGGATTCCCAACAAAATTTGACGATTTTTGTGAATAAACCCGCTTGTTCTTCCGTTTAATCTTCTTCTTCTTTTTCTTTCTCATATTTTTGCATCTTGAAGACTTGATTTCATGAACAAACCCACTTTCCACAACTTCAACTTTTTGAGTTTGAATCAAATCTTTTGGAGTTTGATACTTGTGAATTTCTTGGATCACAGACTTCCCGATAAGGAATCATTCCTTCAAACGAATCACAAGAACACAAAATATCATCGGTTTGAACTCCAATCGAGCAAAAAACTTTTCCATCAAGATAATCAACTTGAACTCCTTTTTCTTGAACATCAAGAACATCACATTGAACTCCATTGTCAAGAACTTCAACAAACTTAAGAGCAAGAAGATCATTTGGGTTTTCAATTAGAGAAATGTATTTCTTATTAAACAAATCTCTTTATTCTCCTTCCTTTTGATTTCTACTACAAACTAATATGGACAAGGCAATTTTATTCAACCATACAATCTTACAAAGTGATTGAAAAACCAAGCTTCCATTGTCATCCTTCAAATCTCCATAAGAAACCATATTAACCCATGAAATCAATTTGCTTAACACCAACCCATAAAATTGATCTTCATTGACTTTGTATTTGATATCTTTAATGATCACAATCCAAGAATCATATGGCAAATCCACCATGATCACAAGAACTTGACAATTTCTAGAGAGAGAAAGTGATTTTGAATGGGTTTTCTAGAGAGAGAAAGTAAAAATCACTTGAATTCTAGTGAAGAAAATTGAATTATGAATAAAATCAAAGATGAATTTGATTTTTAGAATCCAAAAACTCTCTAAATCACGAAGATCAAAGATCAAAAAATGAATCACCAAATCAAGATTGCCACCATGGATCAATTCTTGATGAAATCAAGAACACCCGCTCTGATACCAATTGTAGTGGTGTTGATTATGATGACATGTGCGGAATAAGAAAAAATCTAGTGAATCATCATGCAAACTCAAGAACACAAGGAGTAAATAATTCTTTTAAGCTCTCATTAGTTTGATAGAAATAGTACAAATGGGTCTTGCAATTTCTCTCTCTAAACTAATGCTCTCAAAGTGTTCATTACATAAAATGAGTGTCACTCACTTCCTTATAAAGGAATGACAACTCATTACACAAATACAAATGAGTAAGCCCTCATGACATCCAAGAGTGACTTTGCACCCTAACAATTTATCTTAGTGATTCTTGCATGTGTTTATGTGTTTGTATGAATGTCAGGCGATGCCTGATGCTAGCCAAGCCTGAAGAATGTGATGGGCGGGGCCCATCTCATGTTCTTACAGATCTGTTTCGAGTAGGGATCGATGCTGAGTGGGGCTCAATGCCGGGCGGGGAACAATGGTTATGGGGAATGACCCATTGTATGTTTGATATGTATGGTACGGGGCATTTTGGGGAACTCACTAAGCTTCATGCTTATTGTTTTCAGTTTATGTTTCAGGTACTTTGTGATCAAAGGGGAAGGGCACAGGATGATCGCATCACACACACCATGTTGTTCCACATTTTGTTGGCTTGATGTATTTGAATGATTATTGGCACACTCTGAATTTCTTTTATGGTTTTATGAACACGTTTTGGATGATGTTTTATTATTATAAAAATGAAATATTTGGCCTTAAATTTTGGGACATTACATCATCTTGAGAGCCAGTTTCCTAGATTATTTGTGTTGCCAGTTAACATAGATTTCTTAGTTAGTAATTATGGGGACTGTCACACAGGTGAGAGATTCCTTGGAATCATCCTACTGATGGTGGAATATTAGCTCTCAGTTTCAATAATTAATGGATATGCTAAATCCGATTCATATTTCAGAGCAGACTGGCACTTGGAGATGTGATTTTGGGTTGGATAATGTTTTTTTTTTCGGTTAAAGACACAATATCTCATTTGGATCTTCTGGACCTTCCTTTTGCTGATGGTATTATTAGGTGGAATATATTTCTTTCGATTAAAGTTAACATTTTATTTGGAGACTTATTCTTAATAGGCTACCTACTAGATGCAACTAGATAGAAGAGGTGGTGATGTGGATTCAGTGATATATCCGTGTTGTCGTGTTGAGCAAGAGTATGTGGAACATTTGTTCTTAAAATACACTTTGGCTTGACAACTTTAGAAAAAGCTTACAGTTATAATAAATCAATCAGTTCCTCTTTTTTATTCTTTTCAAGTTTTGTTGCAATAATTGATAGCCAAGTTGTAACAAGTTTCCGAAGGGTGATTATGGAGACGATTTGTGTTACTTTGATTTGGGTTCTTTGGACATATCCGAACGCGATAATTTTCGGGAACTTGAATTACAGAAAAGAGTTTATGTTTGATTCCGCTGTTTCCATGGTTGCAAAACCCCTCATGAACTAATTGTTTGTTCCTTTGCTAGTTTCCAGCTAGCATTTTTTAATACATATAGTTGTTCCAAAAAAGGAAGAGTAATGGCAAAAGGAGGATATCATGCTTTCGTATTCAATATTGATTTGGAGACAAAATTGTCCTGTGTTGTTGTATAAAACATAATCAAATCGAGATCATAATGAACAACCAACAATTAAAAAGACGTTAATAATCACATTGCAAATATCATACAAGTACCCAAAGATATTATTTCAAAATCTTTGAATAACCTTTGAATAGACCGAAATATGTTTCCCTACGACTCCCTAGTGATATTAAATTCTTATTGCATGATTGAACGGTACGTTGTGAACAAACCATTAGTACTCTTGAGAGAAAAAAATTATTGAGTTTTACTTGATGAAGATCAATGAATCTAGCATAAATATTTATCATGAACCAAAAATTATACATGTGAATATATATATATATATATATATATATATATATATATATATATATATATATATATATATATATTGCATTGTGTCGTAACAAAACTTGTCCGCAAACTCAGGGTACTTTTTTATGTTAATGACCAAAAAATGGCTTTATGATAAAACACTACCATTTTATATTATATGAATAACTCACAAATCAATGTTTTGTTTTAACAAAATCTCAAAACAAACCCAAACCCGAGACTTATTCTTAATAGGTTACCTACTAGATGCAAATCTAGATAGAAGAGGTGTTGATGTGGATTCAATGATATACCCGTGTTGTCGTGTTGAGCAAAAGTATGTGGAGCATTTGTTCTTAAAATACAATTTGGCTCGACAACTTTGGAAAAAACTTACGGTTAGGATAGACCAATCGGTTCCTCTTTTTTATTCTTTTAAAGATTTGTTGTAGTGGATTGATAGCCAAGTTGTAACAAGTTTCCGGAGGGTGATTATGGAGACGATTTGTGTTACTTTCATTTGGGTTTTTTGGACGTATCGGACCGCGATAATTTTCGGGAACATGAATTACAGAAATGAGTTTATGTTTGATTTCGCTGTTTCAGTGGTTGCAAAACCCCTCATGAACTAATTGTTTGTTCCTTTGCTTATTTCTAGCTAACATTTTTTAATACGTATAGTTGTTCCAAAAAAGAAGAGTAATTGCAAAAGTAGGATATCGTGCTTTTGTATTCAATATTGACTTGGAGACGAAACTATCCTATGTTGTATAAAAATAATCAAATCGAAATCATAATGAACGATTAATAATTAAAAAGACGTTGATAATCACATTGCAAATATCATACAAGTACCCAAAGATATTATCTCAAAATCTTTGAATAGACCGAAATATGTTTCCTTGCAACTCTGTAGTGATATTTTTTTTTATGTTTTGACAAACACAAACAAACTTCAAGAACAAAAAGAGAAATACGGGCCTGGCCAGATGGGAGGGACCGTGGAGTAACCGGCCCACCAAGTCCATCAGCTCAGGGGACAATAAAAAAGACGACAGCCAAACGAATTAATTCTGCAGTGACAGACGTGACGCAAGAGATATTCCCAGGCTTCGATTGCTGGGTTCGCAGATGTTAGTTGATTCTCCAGCTCTAAAACGGAGGAGATTCGCCGATCAACTTGTTATGGTTTGTGTTGCGTTTTTGTTCTTGTTTTTCCGTAACGTTGATCGAATCTAATAGGGGTTTATCTTGTTTGAATCTTTGTGTCTTCTGTAAAGTATTCCTATCGGTTTCATAAGAATCACGGAAAATCAATCAATTAGGGTTCACGAATTATTATCCGATTGAAAATTGTTGGTCAGCATAATCAATAACCAGTACATTATTTTAAGTATTGGATTAAAAATCAATTAAATCCGAACATAAGAGCAACATTGCTCAACTTATTTTCGTCTTGTGTAATTGGTAAACAGATTTGAAATCATATACTAGGTTCCTACATACAAAGTTATTTGTTTGACTTACTATTGACCCTGGACATAATCGATCTCTTCTACAAGTAGACAATCTATATCTAGTTTGGAACTGCTAGAATTTAAATATACAACCAGTTGAAGCATTAAGAATAGTAAAGAATTGACAAAATACAAGACTTGAAGTTTTTTTTAGCTATTATATGTTGGATCTACAATGCCTGATGTTTTGCAATGATGATACTAAGTGTTGATGATATCCTTAATTCAGGAAAAGCTTGTTGCTGCAAAGCAAACTTATGGTCGGGAAATCCGTGTATTCGAGACAACAACAGCAACAATCTCTCAAACATCAAATGATGTCTCTGGCAGTGGTAGGAAGTTCACTTCCCCTGTAACTAAGAAGTAAATAAGTCATCATTTGATTTCACAGTTAGCTTTATGATTTCACATGAACATGTTCTTTATCATTTGGACAGAGGAATCAGATGACCTGGAATTCACGACTGCAGATTATTATCGCATCTTGGCTACTAAAAAAGAAGGTGGGTCATGGGTGTAATTATATGCATATATCTGTTCTGTTAGTTATTGTTGCTATAATATTTGCTCTTTTCATCACAAATTATATGCAATTGTGAGCAGATAAATATTTGAAAACAAAGAAAATTCGAGACGCAGAAGCAGCAGCTAGTAGATCAAGAATTACCAAGGTAGATGTTAACTTAAATTGCGAAGCAACTTCTTTTATCTTTTGTAAAATTTTAATTTTCAGATTATCATTTTAAGTATGATGTAACTAACTAACTAACTAACTAACTAACTATTTTATTTTCATTAATTCATTTATTTATATAATATACAGGCAGTGATTCGTATAAGGTTCCCAGATAACCACACATTAGAAGCCACATTCCATCCAACAGAGACAATGCAAAGTTTAGTTGATCTTCTTGGGAAAGTTGTAGCTCGACCAGACCTCCCTTTCTATATATGTGAGCATACAATATAACGTAATAAAGCATAGTGAAAATGAATAAATATATATATAAGGGCATTCTTGGCATTTTTTTTGGTACAGATACTATACCTCCCAAGAAGCAAATAAAGAACATGTCTCAGGATTTCTATTCTGCTGGTTTTGCTCCTGGTGCAATCGTCAATTTTTCATATGACATACCACAAGGTTGATACTTGTTGCGTTCTCCTATGTATCTGAATAAAATGTTGTATAAACCTTATTTAATGGTGTGTTTTTGTATGTCAAGGTGATGATAATACTGCTGCACAAGGCCCATTTCTTAAAGAGGATGTCATGGCTTTAAAAGATCTTGACGGCCTTATACCCGAGCCTGATCAACCTGCTCCCGAGCCTGCTGTGACGGCTCCTGCTCCGGTACAGAAGCCAGCTGGCGAGAAGAAGATGGTGAAGCCAAAGTGGTTGAAAATGTGACATTTCAAGGTAAAAAAAAAACAGTCTTTCTAATTTGTAATCTAAATGGAACTTGATTTGGTTTGTAAAGCACTATTAGAAGGGGAGAATGGAGATCATCTTTTGGTGGCAATCTGATTGATTTTCTTGTTAAGGTCTAAATTGTAATTGTAAAGTATTACCAAGTCTTTATCAATTCATTGTTTGGAACTCAATTAATTTCAAGTTGTTATGACTTATGACTTGTCTTTTTATGTTAATAGATGTAAAGTTAATTATGGTATTTAATCAGTTATAAGGATATAAGTTTTGTTAAGGGAGTTTACGGATGTGCATTCACAAGGTGATAAATAGACGTTTGAAAATGCTAATAAGATAATTAATTACAACAAATGATTGAAGATCAAGAATTTTTATATAAATTTATATTTACTCTTGGAAATTGTTTTATTTTGGCAGCAATTCCACAAGCTTCTAAAAATCCTTTTGGCTTGGTTCTTAATGTGTTAAATGGAAAATAGATTACCGAGTATTGAACATTGGGTTAGATTGGTTTTATCAGTCAGATATTACTATTTGTTAATCCAATATGTCCGATTGGATTCATGCCATGTCCATCCATTTTTTCTCTATTTTTTTTTAAAATACATTATATTTGACCTCTTAAATTTGTCTTTTTGTAGTTAAATCAAGGTTTTTCCCACACAACCTTTTGAAGTCCCTTCCACTATAGGGTATGTGGTATTGTGGTGGCCCCTTAATGCGTACATTTATTTGTCTCTCTCATTGAGTCTTGACTGACCATATGATCTGTATATTATGTTTCTATTACATGATAGACTAGTATGTCTTGTCCGGCTGTACCTATTATTCACATCAAAAGACCATATATTATTACATGATATCATGATTATCAATGTTATAGTGTCTAACATTACAGACTACACACCACAATGTTTTCATTAATATGTGAATATTTCACTTTTCTTTAAAGTTTTAACGTGTCATTGAACATGGGTTATCCTACACCTCTACGGAGGTGTTGCATAAAGTTCATGACTTGCAAACAAATGCACAAAGAAAACCACATGTATAACCTTAACTTTGGTGCTAAATGCAGTAGCAAGAATTTTAAAAAATTTAAACCTCAATTAGTAAAATCAACTTTATCATGTTTTATATATACAGTTGTTCAATGCAAACAGATAAAGCAACATTTAAGCCAAATGTGATCATAGATCTATTTCTTTTCTAAGCAAACAAAATCTCCTAAAGAGCCGACCCAAGATAGGATCATATACAGCGACCTTTTCTTTTCTTTTTTTGTTGTTGCAAATTTATGCAACTTATACCATTTGATCAATAAAAAGACAAATACAAGCTTTGATTTATAGAAAAATAAATTACAAATAATCTCTCAACCAACAATTAAAAAAAATACAATCAAGTAATTTATCATAGTTGATTTCAAAGAAAAATATACGATCCACTTGTTAGACTTAACGGTTAGGGGAAATGACACAAATGCCCTACAAAGTTTCTAGCGTTGGTCGATTTAGTCCCTAAAATTTTTGTCAGACATTATGGGGGTATAAACTAGGATACGACCTGCTCTTTTAGTCCCTTTCAACCTGTAATAGCCGGTTCAGCATGCGAAAGTGATCATTTAGACCAAAAAAACTCACATTGTGTCCCTATAAAGCCAAAAAAATAAGTTGAGGGATCAAATGTTTATGTCACAAGATCGAAATGATTTAGATAGCTTTACTTCACATGAGCAGGTCATCAAGAAATGCGGAGATGATTGGCAGCTTCACAACCCCAAAAGCCACAAGAAACGATATGATCCATGATGGAAGAATCCATAAGAACACCACTTTCAGAATATTCTCCCCTGAAATGCATAAAACAATTTGAATCAGGAAAATTCACCACATCAAAGTTTATACATAGCCGATAAAATGATGATTGATTTACCAGTAGAGCGAGACGAGACTTCAGTTTTATCAATTATCTATTCACCAGTCTCTTGAAGCTTCTTCTCCACATCTCATTCCGTTCTCCCAATCGAATTCGATAAAATTGAATCAAACAACGATTTTTGTTGGTCAGATTCATATTCACACTGGTGATTCGATTTCACAACATAGAAGCACAAAATTCAAATTGGAAAATGGAAACCTAAAAAGTATAATGAAATTTTTGTTATCGTTAATTCCATTATGAGGTTTCTTCTTCTCCCAAATCACTTCGATCTTGTGGCATAAACATTTGATCCCCAGACTTGTTTTTTTGGATTTATAGGGACATAATGTGAGTTTTTTTGGTCTAAATGGTCACTATCATATGCGAAACGCTTGTTACAGGTTGAAAGGGACTAAAAGAGCAGGTCGTATCCTAGTTTATACCCCCATAAAGTCCGACAAAAGCTTTTGGGACTGAATCGACCAACCCCAAAAACTTTGTAGGGCATTTGTGTCATTTCCCCTAACGGTTAAGATTATTTACAAGTTATTTCAAATCGTTTTTTGTCGCGTTTGAGGACAAAAAGCAAATTCGGAACATATTATAAGTTAAGTTCAAGCTTATAGAGACTTACTTCGAATTATTATAGAGCATATTTAGCTTTATGTGATAATTTGTAATTAAAATTCGCTAAAGAGGCAAGGACTCTTTGAAGAAGAAACTTATTTGAGGGAGCAAACATGGGTGTTATACGAACTTCTGGGTTTAAAATTCTCTTTCATTTAAACGAAGTTATGAGATGAAGCCATATACCGAAAACAATATATACCGCACACATGCGTCGTCTACGACAGTCGGTGCAATAAGCAGAAAACGTCCGGCGATGACTTTAGAGATTATTGATTTCAATTGTCTGATTTTGTTGATCTTCACTTGACATCGTGTGATTAGGTAAATTCTATGTTTGAAATAATGTTGCTAGATTTGAACTGCGTTTTATATTGAATTCATTTTGTTAAATGCCACTACATTTCTCTCCTATCCCTATGTACAGTTTAGAGTGCATAGCATTCTTTTGGTTATATATAAATCTCTTTGGCTTTTAACTGAAATTTAGAGAAGGATTGGTAAATTGTGTCTTTGCTAACTTATAGGTTTAGTATAACACTGTTTATGTTTAATCTCATTTGTGACATTTGATCGTATTTCTGATGATAAGTAACTGATTTTCTTTGGAATTATTTCTAGTTTGTTTTGTTTGTTCTGTGTTGCATTCTGCTTACAGGAAGGAGCTATAATCAAGCGTGATATAGTTCATCTTTCAAGCCTTAATGATGGAAGATATTCATCCGGACACAGGGTGCCTATCAATTATTGTGCTTGGGGCTTCAAAAAGATCTTGCAAGAAGAATAATACCTTCCCTGCACTCTTTCATCTCCATCGTCAGGGTTTTATACTTTTATTCAATCAAATGATCTGTATATTTTGCCGTTCAAAATAAATAAATAAATAAATAAAAATGATGTGCATATTTTTGGCTATGCCAGGAGCAAAATGTCAGATGATGCCTTCGTGGGTGAGTTTTTCATGACATGATTCAACACACGTATTTGTTGGGAATACACACAAACACAAATGACATAATCTCATTATAATTAGAAGCTCCATAGATCCATACACTGTCTTTTGGTAATAGTAATCAAGAACTAGTTGAAATGAAGAAAAAGAAAAAACTGGTAACTCAAGTGTACATTCGGCTTAATCATGAAATAAACACCGACATGACAAAAAAAATGGATCAAGCATATACAGCTGCGATTAGCATCAATGGGTACAATAAGTAGACCCTAGAATTTCCTAAGCTTTGGGAATCACTTGTACCTGAAACACACATCCAGATTAATATTATAAGTTTACTGAATAGAAACAAGAAAGAAAATATATACCTGGAGTAGTCTTAGAGGTGGAGGTGATGCATGAGATAGGGTTGACACGTTGACCACATCTTGCTGGTAATTCTTGGGCCTTAGTGACATTGATACCAGCATTCTCAGCATTTTTGGTACCTTGATTGCTTATCATACTACACAAGCACTCTGGATTGGATTTTATCACTGATTTCAATGGATCACAACAGCTATCAGGGGGATCCTGTCCCTGTCTCTGCCCTTGATTATTCAGATAGTTCAGGCAAGGAATTAGCTGATTCAGGCAAGCTGAGCCACCACCACCACCACCACTACCACTACCGCTTCCTTGTGCGTTTCCTTCTTCCATAAATACCCCTGCCAACGTCATCATCATTATCAACAACATAGCTTGCATCGAGCTCTTCATTTCCAACTCTTACGTGATTTTCTTCTCTCTCTCTTTCTTTTTCTTTTTTTTTTTAAAAAAAAAAATGCTCTTTCTTTGAATATTTGTGGCGATTTAGAGATGATTCCAAATTGCCAACATACAAATAGAGGTTGATGCATGGTGTTGGTTGGTGAACGTAGTTGATCAAACTGAGAGCATGTTGACTTTTTATATTAAATGCACAAACTGTCATGAGCTTCTCAAATAGGTTGAACTACCCAAACCCCAAATAGGAATAGATAGAGATGATGCCAATTATTATTATATTATTTGTAGTATAATTAATAAATTATCATGTTTCTACAAATTCTTTGCACTTGTAAAGCTACATGTTACCCACTGTTCAAATCACTGGCTGCAGATACCTCAAACACATGAGAAAGATGTTTCAAAGTTCTTCAATTGGTAAACATGGGACCCACACCCACCTTTAGTCCTTTATTTTATTTTGTTTTTATCTACTCCAATTTACTACTTCTAGTATAAAAAGTGTAATTGTAAGTCCTTATGAAGCTCATTTTCCTAATTTCTCCCTACAGCTGATGTTGGTGGTTGGACTGAGTAATTGTTGAGAAGCCTTTTGGCAGGGACCTGAGTTCAACTGAAGAACTGAGTACCCAAATTGTAGAACTATTTAATGAATCACAGATCTACCGTATTGAATATTGATCACTATTTGGGAAAGGAGTTGGAGCAG